TCGGTGCTAAGAAGGGTGGGTCTGGCAGAACTGCTTCAAAACGTTCCACACAGTTGGAGTGTGGAGAACTAAGTTGAGAAATTCCTGAAGAACAACATCCCAGACCCCGCACAATCAACGAGCTATCCTGCGGCAGGTAGCACAGAAACAGTTCGAAAGGGGGAGAGGGCAGACCTGATCGAGAGGTACCCTGCGATGACAGCAGCTATGTCTGGCAAAATGCCTTTTCAGCGGCCCTGACCAACAACCATCAGGACATGGCCCAGCTGGCGATAAAGGGGGCCCTTCCCCTCAGGGTTTTCACGCACGGTCGAGGACTGGGCCAGTCAGTATGTTGCCCTCGGGCCAGCTGCAGAGTCCAGGAGACCATGGACCACCTCGTCCTGGAGTGTTGTTTTGCAAAGGTGCTTTGGTTCGTCCCTGGGGATCTGCTGTCATGGCACTCGGTGCTGTACGGCCTCTTCCCGGGCACCCACAGCAAAATCCACATTGAGTTTGTCTGGAGGATCATAAACTCGGTAAAGGAGGCCCTTTGGCACTCCCAAGACCATGCGTTCTTCTGGCAGAATGAAGGGACGGAGAGGACCTGCCTCAGGCTCACGTACAGTAGGCTCAGGGAGTATATACCGAGGGACAAACTGAAGTTCAGTTCAACCGCGGCAAAGGCCAGATGGGGCCTGAACCCAGCAGGAGATGCTCCAGCACAACCCGCTCAGAGCACACCCACCGGGTAGCCCACGAGCACACCCAAAACTGACTCAAGTAAGGGTACAGAAGGACGCTCGAGATGTCACCAAAGAGCGTCCGAAAATGTATGTACGATGAACATATGCGCGTACGGTGGACATCGGGGTGGCTTCCAAAAGCGGCAAGTGTACCTTATCAGGGTATGTGTGGGTGCGCGCATGGATGTGGTGTACACAGGGCCGATTCCCGACTGTGTTAAAGGGAGAGTCCCAAAAAAAGGGGAACAACATATGTGCGGTAAAAGAATGTATCGTAAACAATGGAATGTTTTTTGTATCGGGAGAAAAGGAAAAAAATTGTAACAGAAGATCATGTACTTTGTGTTTGTTTTGGATTTTTGTTTTACCAAATATTATATTTACAGATAAATATATGTTTTCAAAATAAAGCTCATTGAAACAAATATTCACCTACAACTTCACAGTCACTGCCCTTCTCTGAAGTGCTTTTAGTTATCCTCTGATGGAAAATGCACAATATCAAATGTAAAGATTATAAAGAATTACTGGGATTATTATTCAAGCATCTTTTACAGTTGTTCCACAAAGTGTGCAGTTGCAAATTCTCATTTTGCCCCGAAACAACATGAAAGCATCATCAAGCATTTACGTTGTAGAAAGATTAAACATTTAAAACTCCTACGGTAAAACCAAATGGTATTACTCCAGCAGTCACCCGCACCAAACTCCATATGTGTATCAACCCAGTCCTTGTCAAACTCCCATTAACTGTTTATCTCCCAGGGGTGCGATTTCAACATCTAAACCCTCACCTATAAATCCCTCTATGTCCTAGCACCTCCTTAGCTCTCCGAACTTCTGCTCTGCTTTCCCACTCTGCTCGGCAAATTTGGGCTTGTTGCACATGCCCCACCCTCTGCGTGCCACTATCGGTAGACAACTTTTCAGATTCTGCACAACTAACCAGTAGCAGGTGTCAGCGTGGCTCATTTGGAAACGCCTCGGAGTCAGAAGATTATGGGTTCAAGCCCCAAATCGATACTAAACTCGCAAACTAGGCTGACACTCCAATGCAATGGAGTTGTGTTGCATTGTCAGAGATGCTGTTCTTCAAATAAGATATTAAACCGAGGTCCTGTCTTCTGTTCAGGTGGATGTTGACGATCCCATGGCACTACTTGAAAAGAAAAGGGAGGTTCTCCTGAGGTCCTGGCCAACAGTTCCCTAAACAAAATTGGACATTCACATCATGGCTGTTTATGAGGCATTGCTGTGTGAAAATTGGCTTCCTCATTCAATTAGAAATGCACAGTTACTACACCTCACAGTAATTCCCGTTTTCCAGGACTACAACTACTTATTTACAGTATAATAAATAATGGATTTGAAAAAGGACTGAGTTCTGTGGCATTGTGATGCTCTCTGCTATCTAAGGTTACAAATGGTGCATATTATGACCATCATGACCATCATTAACATATACAGTTTTTTTTATTGTTGCAGTGATTAAAAGCAATAAAAAGAGTAGCACTTCACACCTATCCAAAAATGGCAGACCACAATTCTAATTTATGCTATTTTTATACTTAGGTAAAAACAAATTAAAAATTGCTCCCAACATCTCTTATCATATATTTCAGTCTATCTCCTGCACAAAGGATTCTCTTATGAGATACCACTTATGCTTTGAATAATGTGTAGCATACTGTACCAACCTGCTGTGTGAATACTTTGATGACATACTGTTACTTCTGACTTGAGGTATTTTCTGTGGAGCTATATATCAATGTGCTGTGTGTGGTCCACCTGGTGGGAACTCTTCAAGCAAGAATCTCTCAAGCCTAATATATGCATTTAGTAAAGGTATAACATTTATAGAAAAATGGATACTTGAGAAGTTACAATTCATTCAAGGAATTCTAGTGCATGATCATCACCAAATGTTGAGGAATGCATTCTTATCGTCAGAACTCTTAAGATCTCCTTCATATTTGGTTTGTTGTAAAATATGCTTTAAATACCCAGTGACTTAGTGACAAACATTCATGTGCTCACTGCATAGTCAGCTGGTGCTCATTCACATGATGACACACAGGGGAAAAGCCATAATGACTATTGCGATATGCATCCTGAATTGCTAATATGATCATGTGGCAAGTGTAACAGTGTCATTTTCTTGTCCGCATATTGGAATTTATAATAGAAACAAATGTAACACAACATATTTGAGCCCAGGCTATAATGAATGAACTTAAACATGCAGGCAACAGAGAAGATTGCTCTATCCAGAGAAATTTTCATTCTGGTTTTGTCTTGTGGGTCAAAATGATGTACACTAGCTCTATTGGTGAATACTAATCATGCTGAATACGTATCCCAGTGCTCTTAAACAACTTGCATTGATAAAGCTCTATTTTTATTTGTCTCAGTTGGTAGCACTTATGATTCTGATTAAAAAATGTGTGGGTTCAAGCCTTGAGTTGAGACTTTGAGTTCATAGTCCGATTAACAATGCGTTGCAGAGCTGCAGAAGTGTCCTTTTATTGGACGGATTGGGGGAGGGGGTTAGCTTTCTAATTTAGTAAAGTTCAATCACAAAGCTCTTTGTTAAAGTACAACAAATACACAAATTCCTTATCGAGTCTCTAATAATAATTCTTATATTTGATATTGTGAACGTCACGTCAGGTGGATACCTCAGGTTAACTGTAAGGTGTAGTGACTTTGTATTTTGTAGGTAATAAATAGATGCTAACATTGCACTAATGCCAAAGAGCAGATAAATAAACCTTAAAAATTCACAAAGCTTATATCCCTCTAGTGTTGGTCCTCTCTTCATGTGGGTGCATTGAACATAGAAAACAACTAAACACTGTACATGGTACTCAATGAGTAAGCACTTACTACTTATACCAAGCTTTCAGTTACTTTATCTCCATAGATGCTGCCTGACCTGCTGTGTGTTCCCGGCGACTTCTGCGTTTATACCAGAATTCCAGCATCAGCAGTATTTTGCCTTTTTTAAAAAACAATTTGGATGTTGTGCAATTGGAAATAAATAGATTCAGGTGCACTCAACAACAACAACAACAAGATTCCATTTATAGAGCGCCTTTCACGTCAGGAGGACGTCCCAAGGCGCTGCACAGTTGGGTCATGACCCGAGCAGGGGGTCATGACCCGAGCAGGGGGTCAGGACACTCAAGCATTAAACAGCTTTTGTACTCAAGTTATTTACTCACTGAACGCATTCCACGCTGTCAATAACTGTTTCAGCTTATTGCTTCCTTCATACCTTTACTTAGCTGGAAATTCAATAATGCATCCTTCCAATACTTTACTTTCACTTTGCTCTTGTCCATAGATATACAATGAAAGTAATAGAAGTCAAACATATGACCCTCCAGTGATTCAGTGCAACTTACATCTTAGTAATGGAAGCATATACCTCCAATGTTATTACTCAATAGAAAGGAAGTGATTCTCAAGATCATCCAGTAGTGCTTTGTGAAATTAAGTGAAATCAGATGTTGAATAATATCTCAATATTGATATGATAACAAAATATATTACTCTATTGAGAATATAATGCTGGAATGCAAACTTTCTGATTTGGGTCAATAAACCATGGTCATTTGATAGTTAATACATTTACCGATATTGGCAGATTTGAGCGTCAAAGGGTACGAATGAGTTGGACAGTGGTTTTGACAGTGACCACCACAGGGTCATAGATTCATATCAAGCCCAGACTGGATGAAATTTATGTGAAGGAAATTAAAAATATCATTGTGATGTAGAAACAGGTTCTATTCTGGGGTTGGGTCTGAGGCACACTGGCAACAGAGTAGAAAGATCTTGACTCTGAATGTAAATTTTGCTGCACTTGACCTGTGTGCTTGAAACGTGTTATGTTCCAGCATTACCATCTCTTACCTTGATCTTTACCAAAGTTAATTTGTGTTCCAATTGGTTGATCCATTGCACAATGATTCGGGATGTGTCTCCAAGCTGTGCACAGGAGGATAGTGGCAATCTCTTATGCATTTCATACTGAGCTGTGCTAATCACCAGGACACTTGCAAAGATTTCAATGCCATCAGCCTGCCTGGCTTGGATATTGTTAAGCATGGTGATGGGTTTCCACATGTATCAGACATCCAGCTGATCAACAAGAGTCATCAGATCTTAGCTGAGTGGAACATGTTAGGTTGCTGTCTAAAATCAATTTACTTTATGCTGTGAGCCCCCCAAAATATTGCATTTAATGATCAGTGTCTGTTTTTCTTGCAGGGATCTGAGATTTAACCGGATCAGAACAATCCCACCTGGAGCCTTCAAGAAGCTGAAAAACCTGAACACATTGTAAGTAATGATTCATCATAGCAGTACCTCAGAATATGCAATGCAAACAGCAACACAGTCATAAATGGGTGTATTTTCTATTGCAATATCTAAGCAATTTGTTTACTGGCAAAACAGTATCAAGCTTCAAAACAGGATTAAGCACTTTATAGAGTTTCTTCTATGACATTGAGCACTTTTGAAAGTAATTAAATTAGCTTGATTTTGTGCTTTCTTTGTGGTCTAATTGTGCAAGCATCTCTGAAATCAGGAAGTTTTTGCCTTTGAAATCAATTTGCTCCATTTATGTCAAAGTTAAATCTCCTCAGAGTTGGTGGGTGTCCACATTCTCTGATTGTCTACTGGTCTGAGTTCCCTTAAGATCCAGTGATTCATGTTGCTTAATGGCCTGTTGGATGTTATTTCTCCTGACGTTATTTCTCCTGATGCAGTAGATATCTGCTTAATGTTCCTGACTGTCTATTAACTATTCTTTTGATGTTTTGTTGATATATATCTGTATATATATGCAAATCTGAGAGCTCTTGGATATGCATCCAAGTTTCCCTGATGTTTAACGGACAGATGTTCAGGTTCCACGGTGGTCTGAGTTTGTTCTCTGAAAGTGTACTAGGGTATATCTCAGTTCTCTAGTCACAGAAAATTGACTGCTCATGAGGCCTATGTGGATGCGTAATTCAAATACGCAACATTTACATGAACATATGTATTCAGAATATGGGAAATTTTTGTCATCTCCAAAATGTTTAATCGTAAATCACGCTATACAAAATGTAATTTGTTGTTGCTATGATATGCTTCATTCTTAGTTGATGGTTGATACAATAGGAACACAGATAATTATTGAGTGCTTCAGTGACTCTTATAATTTGGTGAGTATGTGGATTAGGTATCATTCTGGCTCATTCAGTAGCACTGTTACCTCTGAGTCAGAAGGTTGTGGGTTCAAGTCCCGAAGACTTTGAGCTCATAGTCTTGGCCAACACGCCTACGTAGTTGGTGTGCACTGTATTTATCAGAGGTGCCATGCTTCAGGCAAGATATTAAACTAAGGTCCTGACTGCCTGTTCAGGTTGACATTAAAAATCCTAAGGCTCTATTTAAAAATAGAAAGAGGTTTCTCCTGGTGTCCTGATCCCCTAGTTTGGAGCAGAAAAATTGACAAAAAAATGAAAGTGTTTAAATAAATAATGGTAAAAATTTGACAACTTTCTGTCTTCTCTGTATTGCAGTGTGAATGTAATTTATTTAAAATTGTAAACTCTTGACTGCAATGTCCTTTTAATCTTTTGTAATACAATAATGTTTACTATATTCCTGAACTGAGCAAAATACATAAAAGATAACCAAATAGTGAAATGGTGATAATAAATGAAACCATTAATAAATAAGTGTTGTAATTAACTAAGGAGACAGCGATAACCTTTATACCATAAGGTTAAGTGGGAGGATTAAAAGAAGAGAGCACAAGGTGCTGATTTGTGCTCCAATGAGACCCTTTTCTACATTACAGGGTACAGCAGAAGCCTTCATTTTTCAAGGGCAATGCCATCGGTTTGATTTACGGACTGGAAGCAGCAATTTCATGAAAATATTCTGCAAATTAATAACAGACTTGTCCTCCAACCTTTATTGATAGCTTCTTCAAAATGAACTTGGTCGAAATTTGCTTTAACTTTGCTTCGCATAAAAATGTGAAGCAGTGAAGTGCTTCTAAATGTCTTAATAATATAATTTACTTTTTTAAAAGGATGCTTTTACAATGGGCAAAATTCATGTTCTATGTGACATTTGAAGCTAAAATCACAGGAATGTCCCAAATTAATCTTTGAAGATGACCACATAGATACATATCCCCATTACCCAAATAAGTAAGAGGCTTGATGATGTACTAACATGCAAGTTGGGCAAATAGTTCATGGACTAACCACTTTCAAATGCAAAATACTTGTAACCTAAAATGATGATTATTTGCATAATTAAGGGCACTTACAAGCATTTGAATGTGGTTAACCTACGGGGTATTAGCCCAACTCTCATTTTAGACCACAACATGGTCTGGCACTAATTTGCAATATTTGTTAACACATTTCTTATTAAGAAATGTTACATTATTAAACTTCCCAAAACATCACTGTTTTACATATTCAATAATTGCACATTTGTTGAGATGTCTTTTTGACATTTCCTCGTGATATTTGAGTCCAATTAAATATTTCTCACCAGATTCTGGTAATAAATACTTAATTTGACTTGAATATCACAAGGAAAAGTCAAAAGGATATAGCTGTGTGGCAAAACATTTGCTTGAAGACTTTGAACTGACTGGTGTAGGAGGGAAATAAGTGAGTAGACCAGTTTGGTGCCAAGTTACTTGGAGAAGAATTGCTTTTGTCAAGCATGCTCAAACTGATGGACCCTAACAGAATTAAATTACAGGAGCATGGATTAATGAACCCTAAATACAACCTGCTGAGACAGATGGACCCTAACAGAATCAAAGTACAAAGAGACCGACGGACATTAGTGGAGTCACATGAGATGGATGGATGTTAATGGAATTAAAAAGCACCTGTTCAGATTGATGGTACCTAATGGAAATGCAACTGCTCAGTCCAGTATTAAGAAGAATCATGTATGTAAGAATGCTCACTTTCCATTTAAAACCAAACCTTCTCATTGTGCACATTAGTTTCTTCCTGTGAGGTTTGTCTCATTGCCTTTTCTATTAATATTCAGTAGGTGGTTGTATGTGACCAAGATTACTGAAATGCTTCTTTTCCATAGTATGAATAATGGAAAGATTTTCATCTCTGTGTCTAAACTAAGCTACCACATTGGTGGGTTCATAGAAAAGGGCACAATTCATACTGATAAATGGGCAAAAAGCTCAACATTAAGATATCTGAAATAAAAATAGCAAAATGCTGGAAATACAAAATAGGTCAACAAGCAACTGAAAGAGAGCTTGAGTGAGGGAATGAGAGAGAGAGAACTTGAGAATGATAGAGAGAGAAAAAGAAAAAGTAAGAGTGAGTGAGAGAGAAAGCTTGAGAGAGAATGAGAAAGAGAAAGTGAGAAAGAGTGTGAGAAAAAGAGAGCTTTAGAGAGAAGAACGAAAGATTGAAAGTGAGAGTGAGACAGAGCTTGCGAGAAAGTGGGAGAATATTCTACATTAAAAGCTTTATTCATAGTATTTTGTATAGTATTAATGCACCTCTTGTTTGATGTATTACTGTAATCTTAGTGTTTATTTCACCACTGTTGCATATGAATTGAAAACTTTTTTAAAAATGACCAGCGGTCTGAGGGTAGAATAGTTTTGTAAGAAGCATTTTATATTTCAAGTCATGAATATCCTTAAAAATGTTTAATAACCAGTAACCCCCCTGCATTAATATGCCTTTATTTTGTTTATTTTTCTATAGCCAAAAACTCTCACAGGAAAATTGAAACCTAGAGAAATTTTGCACAAATATGTGGGCTGAGCTCATCAGTCCTGTGGAAATTTGGATGGAACATGTCACAGAGGGTTATCTGGATCAGCGTAATGCCCAAAAGCAGTGAAGGGAATAGGCGGCATTAATCAGAACTGGACAGGTTCCCAGACATAGGATCGCCCACGGAAACCAGATTGGCTGTTAGAGAATATATTGGAGCTAGTCTTTGCATGCAATGTGCTGCTTGGCATAACATTACAGCAGTGAGATTCGTATTCAGAATAAACACTGTGTCAAAAGGATGCAGAACCTGAAATTCCACCTGGTCTTAACCGCTTAAGAAAAATCTTAAATCCATTAATAATAATCCTTGCATTTGATATAGTGACTGATCACTTCTTCGAGACGCCTCAAAGCACTTCACAGAATATTCCGTAAAGTGTAGTGACTGTATACTTTGTGGGTGAAATGTGCACAGTGTGTCCCACAAACAGTGGTGGATTGGGTGACCAAATTATTATTAAGGATTCTTAATTTAGAAGACCTTTTTCTGCAGTATACTTAAACAAGTTCTTAAAAAAGCACCTGCTTCCAAATCAAGACTGAATTTAAGAATTTTCTACAACTCTGTGATCTTAACTTTTGAGACAAAATAGTCTGGCTGGCCAAAATGAGGTGGAATTTCAGGCCTATAGTTTGCTTGAACTAGATGGGTATCATGTTATTTTTTTGATCCAGAATAACACAGGGTTCTGCAGTGCTAACAAATCAACCGCTCACTGATACAAACATATCAGATAAGGCCCAGCTAAAAAGTGAAGGGTGATCACTTTCCAGAGAGCATGTCTGCAAAATTCAGTTTTGGTCTTTGAAGTCAAGAATGATTCATGTTCACTCTGTTGTTCTGATACAATAGATTTATCAGAAGATGGATAAGCAGATGATCAAACCACCACAACAAAAGCATTTCTGTTCCTAACATCTCACCATCCTCTTTTAAAATGTCATTCAGCTTATCTACAAGAAATTTACAGCACAGAGGAAGGACATCCTGCTCATCCTGTCTGTGTTATGGGGTTTTGAAGGAGCAATCCATCCACGCCCATTTACCTGCCTTTTCCCCCGTACCCAAATTACTCCTTTGTTTTAGATATCTATTGAGTTCCCTAATGAAAACAAATATAGATCCTGCATTGACCTCCTCACCCAACAAATCCGAATATAACTCTGTAGAAATATTTTGTGCTATCTCCCCCTTTGCTCCTTTGTTAAACTATTTTAAAATTGATGCTCTGTAGTCACTGACTCACTAGCCAGTGGAAATAATTTCTCCCTAACGACTCTTATCAATACCTCTCATAATTTAAAAAACCTCCTATCTTGACTTTCTCTGTTTCATTAAAAATAGGTCTATTTCCTCCAATCTCTGCTCATAGTTCCTCTTGCCCCAGCTCTTCAAGCCCCTGCAAATTATTCCTTTTAGATATCTAATTATTCCTTTTTAACTTTATTAAATATAATAAGTTACCATAGATTTTACTCTCCTGAAATAAATATAAT